CCTTTTTTTTTTGTCTTTTTTTCTTCTTTTTTTCAATTCTCTTTTTTGATTCTTTTGCTTTTATTCCGTATTCATTCTGTCCTTTTTTTCTTTTTTTAATTCTTTCTTTGGTTTTTTTTCTTTTTTTCTTTTTTTTTTCTATTCCGTATTCATTCTGTCCTTTTTTTTTTTTCTTTTTTAATTCTTTCTTTGGTTTTCAAGCATCTCTCTTTTGATTCTTTTGCTTTCTTTTTCTATTCCGTATTCATTCTGTCCTTTTTTTTTTTTTTTTTTTTAATTCTTTTTCTTTGGTTTTCAAGCATCTCTCTTTTGATTCTTTTGCTTTCTTTTTTCTCCTTCCCGTATTCATTCTGTCCTTTTTTTTTTTTCTTTTTTTAATTCTTTCTTTTGGTTTTCAAACATCTCTCTTTTGATTCTTTTGCTTTCTTTTTCTATTCCGTATTCATTCTGTCCTTTTTTTTTCTTTTTTTTTTTCTTTCTTTTTTTGGTTTTTCTTTTGCATCTCTCTTTTTCCATTCATTTTTTTTTTTTTTTTTTTTTTTTCTTTCCGTATTCATTCTGTCCTTTTTTTTTTTGTCTTTTTTATTCATTCTTTTTTTTTTGTTTTTTTAAACATCTCTCTTTTGATTCTTTTGCTTTCTTTTTCCTATTCCGTATTCATTCTGTCCTTTTTTTTTGTCTTTTTTTAATTCTTTCTTTGGTTTTCAAGCATCTCTCTTTTTGATTCTTTTTTGCTTTCTTTTTCTATTCCGTATTCATTCTGTCCTTTTTTTTGTCTTTTTAATTCTTTCTTTGGTTTTCAAGCATCTCTCTTTTGATTCTTTTGCTTTCTTTTTTTCTATTCCGTATTCATTCTGTCCTTTTTTTTTTGTCTTTTTTTTATTCTTTCTTTTTCTTTCTTCTCTTTTGTTTTCAAGCATCTTTCTATTCCGATTCTTTTCCTTTTTTTTTTTTTTTATTCATTCTGTCCTTTTTTTTTTTGTTTTTTTTTCAATTCTTTCTTTTTTTTTTTTAAGCTTCTCTTTTCAAACATTTTTTCTTTTGCTTTTTTTTTCTATTCCGTATTCATTCTGTCCTTTTTTTTGTCTTTTTTTTAATTCTTTCTTTGGTTTTCAAGCATCTCTCTTTTGATTCTTTTGCTTTCTTTTTCTATTCCGTATTCATTCTGTCCTTTTTTTTGTCTTTTTTAATTCTTTCTTTGGTTTTCAAGCATCTCTCTTTTTTCTTTCTTTTGCTTTCTTTTTCTATTCCGTATTCATTCTGTCCTTTTTTTTTTCTTTTTAATTCTTTTCTTTGGTTTTCAAGCATCTCTCTTTGATTCTTTTGCTTTCTTTTTTCTATTCCGTATTCATTCTGTCCTTTTTTTTTTTGTCTTTTTTTATTCTTTCTTTGGTTTTCAAGCATCTCTCTTTTTGATTCTTTTTTTCTTTTTTCTTTCCGTATTCATTCTGTCCTTTTTTTTTTTGTCTTTTTAATTCTTTCTTTGGTTTTCAAGCATCTCTCTTTTGATTCTTTTTTTTTTCTTTTTTTCTATTCCGTTTTCATTCTGTCCTTTTTTTTTTCAAGCATCTCTTTTTTGTTCTTTTGCTTTCTTTTTTCAATTCATCTCTCTCTTTTTTTCTTTTTTTTTAATTTCTTTTTTTTCTATTCTTTATTCATTCTGTCCTTTTTTTTTTGTCTTTTTTAATTCTTTCTTTGGTTTTCAAGCATCTCTCTTTTTGATTCTTTTGCTTTCTTTTTTCCTATTCCGTTTCATTCTGTCCTTTTTTGTCTTTTTTAATTCTTTCTTTGGTTTTCAAGCATCTCTTTTGATTCTTTTGCTTTTTTTTCCTATTCCGTATTCATTCTGTCCTTTTTTTTTTTGTCTTTTTTTTTTCTTTCTTTGGTTTTCAAGCATCTCTCTTTTGATTCTTTTGCTTTCTTTTTTCTATTCCGTATTCATTCTGTCCTTTTTTTTTTGTCTTTTTTTAATTCTTTCTTTGGTTTTCAAGCATCTCTCTTTTGATTCTTTTGCTTTCTTTTTTCTATTCCGTATTCATTCTGTCCTTTTTTTTTTTCTTTTTTTTAATTCTTTCTTTGGTTTTCAAGCATCTCTCTTTTTTGATTCTTTTGCTTTTTTTTTTCCTATTCCGTATTCATTCTGTCCTTTTTTTTTTCTTTTTTTTTTTTCTTTGGTTTTCAATCATCTCTTTTTTTCTATTCTTTTGGTTTTTTTTTCCTTCCGTATTCATTCTGTCCTTTTTTTTGTCTTTTTTTAATTCTTTTTTGGTTTTTAATTCTTCCATCTCTTTTTGATTCTTTTGCTTTCTTTTTCTATTCCGTATTCATTCTGTCCTTTTTTTTTTTTCTTTTTTTAATTCTTTCTTTGGTTTTCAAGCATCTCTCTTTTGATTCTTTTTTCTTTTTTCCTATTCCGTTTCATTTCCTTTTTTTTTTGTCTTTTTTAATTCTTTCTTTGGTTTTCAAGCATCTCTCTTTTTGATTCTTTTGCTTTCTTTTTTCTATTCTTTCTGTCCTTTTTTTTTTTTTTGTCTTTTTAATTCTTTTTCTTTTTTCTTTTTATTCCGTATTCATCTCTCTTTTTTTTCTTTATTTTTTTTGCTTTCTTTTTTTTTTGCTTTCTTTTTCCTATTCCGTATTCATTCTGTCCTTTTTTTTGTCTTTTTTTTTATTCTTTCTTTGTTTTTTCAAGCATCTCTCTTTTGATTCTTTTTGCTTTCTTTTTTCTATTCCGTATTCATTCTGTCCTTTTTTTTCTTTTTTAATTCTTTCTTTGGTTTTCAAACATCTCTTTTTGATTCTTTTGCTTTCTTTTTCTATTCATATTCATTCTGTCCTTTTTTTTGTCTTTTTTTTTAATTCTTTCTTTTTTTTCAAGCATCTCTCTTTTTTTTCTTTTGCTTTTTTTTCCTATTCCGTATTCATTCTGTTTTTTTTTTGTCTTTTTTAATTCTTTCTTTTGTTTTCAAGCATCTCTTTTTTGATTCTTTTGCTTTCTTTTTCTATTCCGTATTCATTCTTTTTCCTCTTTTTTTGTCTTTTTTTAATTCTTTCTTTTTTTTCAAGCATCTCTCTTTTGATTCTTTTGCTTTCTTTTTTCTATTCCGTATTCATTCTGTCCTTTTTTTTTGTCTTTTTTTAATTCTTTTTTTGGTTTTCAAGCATCTCTCTTTTGATTCTTTTGCTTTCTTTTTTCTATTCCGTATTCATTCTGTCCTTTTTTTTTGTCTTTTTTTAATTCTTTCTTTGGTTTTCAAGCATCTCTCTTTTGATTCTTTTGCTTTCTTTTTTCTATTCCGTATTCATTCTGTCCTTTTTTTTTGTCTTTTATTTAATTCTTTCTTTGGTTTTCAAGCATCTCTCTTTTGATTCTTTTGCTTTCTTTTTTCTATTCCGTATTCATTCTGTCCTTTTTTTTTGTCTTTTTTTAATTCTTTCTTTGGTTTTCAAGCATCTCTCTTTTGATTCTTTTGCTTTCTTTTTTCTATTCCGTATTCATTCTGTCCTTTTTTTTTGTCTTTTTTAATTCTTTCTTTGGTTTTCAAGCATCTCTCTTTTGATTCTTTTGCTTTCTTTTTCCTATTCCGTATTCATTCTGTCCTTTTTTTTTGTCTTTTTTTTTTTAATTCTTTCTTTTTGTTTTCAAGCATCTCTCTTTTGATTCTTTTTTTTTTCTTTTTCTATTCCGTATTCATTCTGTCCTTTTTTTGTCTTTTTTTTAATTCTTTCTTTTGGTTTTCAATCTCTCTTTTTTGATTCTTTTTTTTCTTTTTTTCTATTCCGTATTCATTCTGTCCTTTTTTTGTCTTTTTTTTCTTTCTTTCTTTTGGTTTTCTCTTTAAATCATTTCTTTCTTTTCTTTCTTTTTTTCTTTTGCTTTTTCTTTTTTCTATTCCGTATTCATTTTGTCCTTTTTTTTTGTCTTTTTTAATTCTTTCTTTTTTTTTTTTTTCATCTCTCTTTTTCATTCTTTTTCTTTCTTTTTCTATTCCGTATTCATTTTCTGTCCTTTTTTTTTCTCTTTTTTTTTTCTTTTTTTGGTTTTCAAACATCTCTCTTTTTCATTCTTTTTTTTTTTCTTTTCTTTTTTTTTTCATATTCATTCTGTCCTTTTTTTTTCTTTTTTTTAATTTTCGTTCTTTGGTTTTCACATCTCTCTTTTGATTCTTTTGCTTTTTCTTTTTCCTTTTCCGTATTCATTCTGTCCTTTTTTTTTGTTTTTTTTCTTTTTTATCATTTTCTTTTTTCTTTTCAAGCATCTTCTTTTTTTTTTTCATTCTTTTTTTTTTCTTTTTTTTTCTTTTCCGTTTTCATTCTTTTGCTTTCTTTTTCATGTTTCATTTCTGTTTTTTCTTTTTCCTTGTATTTCATTTCTTGTTCCGTTTTTTGTTTTCAAATTTTTTTCTTTTTTTCTTTTTGTTTCTTTTCATTTTTCTTATTCTTTCCTTTTTTTTTTTGGGATTTTCAATTTGATTTCTTTCTTTGAATTACCAACTCTTTGAAACTTCATTTTCCTTTGATTTCTTTTCCGTTTTCAAATAAAGTCCTTTTTTAACTTCCTCAAAGTCATAATTCTTTGAAATAATTCTGCCAAGACATAGTCTTTTTTTGTTTCCAAAATGGAAAATTTTGCATATCGATTCCGTAAAGATTCTGTCTTTTTTGTCTTTTTTAAATGAATCTTTTACAAAGTTTAAGACGTGAATATTTTGATTAATCATCAAATTGATTGATGAATTCATTCTGTCCTCTTTTTTATATATATTTATATATATATATATTCCTATATATATATATATTTATATATATTTTCTTTCCGTATAGATAGATTCTTAGATATTTATAGATAAGATAGATACGAATAGGATGGATTTGATATGAAAAATTGGAAAGATAGATAAATATTCATAAGATCGATAGATAGATTTTTGTCTTTTCATAGGCCTCAATTGATAGATATATGAAAAGAATAAGTATTTGATTTTTTGATAGCTTTTTTTCTATTCCGTATTCATAGATAGATAGATAGATAGATTGTCTTTTAATACCATTAGGCCTGGATAGATAGATATGAAAAGAATTGAGGATATGATTTTTCTATTCCGTATATTCTGTAACTTTTTTGGAAACTATTAAGCATTTTTGGTTGACATAAATTTTTCTAAACCTTTCTATAAAATAGACTGCAATAGATACCTTATATCAGATATATACATGAATATTTATATATATAAAATCATATATATATATATATATATATATAAAGTTCTATTCTGTTTTTTTTGTTTTGATGATTTTCTAACACATATTAATTGAAACTTTTATATATATACATATGTTTTTAACCTCTAGTCAAACAATTTTGTTTTAAAAAATACTCATATTTGTATCCCTGGCTATATATTTAATAATGCAAAAAGTTTTTCTATTCACATATCATTCTATCCATTTTTATTTCGTTATTTAATTTTTCTTTATTGCTAAAGTAAAGTGTGTAACACATTTTGTTTTCTCCCCTATTCCGTTTCTGCATGCTCTTGGCTAATATTTTTCCATTCTTCACAAAATATTTTTGATTTTTTGCAGGTTTTTTTTCTTTCCTTTGAATTCTCAGTTTCAGCTCTCTCCATAAATTTTTCAATCAGTTTGAGATCTGGAGATTGACTTGCATTTTTAGAATGTCTTTTCTATTTGAACTTTACCATAATTTTTTAAGCTTTGCAGTATGTTTAGAATTGTTGTCTTTTTCTATTCCAACCTAGTTTCAAGCCCAGCAGATGTGCCCCTTGGCGTTTCATTGTTCTCTCCAAAATATCCATATAATATTCTCTGTTTTATCCTTCCTTCTTTTTTTTTCAATGTTCTCTACACTTTGTGCACTAAAGCAACACCCAGAGCATGATTGATCCGCCTCCAAATTTTACTGTTGGAATAGTATTCTCCTTCAAATATCCGAGAAGAATGTTTTTTTTTCTTTTCTTTCTTGCAGTTTTTTTCTTTTTCATGCTTTAATTTTCGTTTTTTTCTGACAAGTACATTTTTCCAAAATTTCATGTTTTGATACAATGCTCATTTGCAAAAATACAGTCTTGTCATGAACGTGTTTTTCGCTTAATGTTTTTTTTTTTTTTCGTTGGGGTCCTCCAAAAGATGTCATATCGACAAAAGTGAATTTCTAATTGTGTCCATACTCACTTTTACTCCACTTTTTTCCATGTTTCTGTTTTCTTTTTTTCTTTCTGGCCTAACTTTTTAGGACTCGTTGCCCTATTTTCGTTAATAATTCTTTTTCATGCATTTGCTTACCTTTCTTTCACGTTTCAATTTCTTTTCTGGGAAATGGAATAACATGTCTTCAGTGACGAATTATAGTACCAACATGAACTCAATGGCATTTAACTGACTCGATTTTTTCCTATAACCAGGTACACATTTGTGAAGGTCAAGAATACGTTTACAGAATCTTGATCAATGATTTTGCTTTTTCCCATTTTTAAATGTTTAAAACAGTTAAAAAAGGGCGTAATACATGTAATAATTCCTAAAAGTAATCATAAAATTAAACTGGAACGTTCTAAAAAACAACTCCATCCTAATTTGGAACATTCAAAATAAAAAAATTTTAACATTTTAATATTTAATAAAAACTTTTGATTACTAAATATCGGTTTTTCCTCGTTAGGAACTTCTTTGAATTTTTTTCTTTTTTAAAATCTGATTGTTTTAAATGTAATTGTATTAAAACATAACAAACATTTCTTTTCTAATAATATTTGTAAACTTTTGCGTGACAATATATATATATATATATATATATATATATATATATATATATATATATATATATAATATAAGTGAAAGTGTATATAAATATAAATAAATATATATATATAATTATTTATATATTATATACTTATTAGTATTATAAGCGCTTTCAATATCAGATTAATGAAATCTTTTATCATGTTGGTTTGTCTGACGATCGCTAAAACAATGGTTTAAAAAATACTCAACGAAAAATCACATCTATCCAAAAATATATATATATATATATATATATATATATACATTTATATATATATCCATTAATATTTCGTATGTAACCGTTATTGCTTACAAATGTTTTGTTTCGCCCTATGAATTTATCCATTGACTTAAAAATATTTTTGCCATTCTTTTGACTTAAAAGGAATTAGCCCTTTACCGTGCTGGGTGTTTTGAATGCCTTAGTTCTTGCCTATCTCACAATGCGAATTTTTTCTAAGCTCTGGAGAAAACATTTTTAAAATGTTACGAAAAAAGAACTTAACCAAAATGAACACAAAACGACTCACCTTTAAATTGGACTCGTTATTGAAAACCGAATGAAAAAAAGAATGTTAACAACAAATACTTTTTTCCCACCCAACCCAGTCTGCGTCATCTGAATCAACGTTTCAATTTCCTTTCCGAATTTTAGCCAATTTCTTTAAAGTGCCTAAAGATTTAAATTTTTGATCCCCACTTGTGACGAATGCAGCTATCAATTTTTTGGCATGCTAGTTAACATTCGTCAGTCAGGCTTTCACGCTGGCCAATAGAATCTTCTTGCCTATTCGTGGCAGCCAGCTCTCAAAATGTCGTACAAAATGGCCCCAAACTATTTGAAAAATACAGTAGAAGCATAAAAATCAATTATTTCCACTATCGATTTTGTTGAAATGCAATGTCGGTCTTGGCCTTCCCGTTAACTTGGAGCATGCATGTAAAGTTTGGTGCAAATCCGTCAAAATTGCGTCCCCGTGCATTAGTTACACACACACATCCTGCTTTTATATATATATATATATATATATATATATATATATATATTGTTGAACATTCAACTGAAATACACTTCAGACAAAATGCATGGTAACGTTAACTATCATATCGGTAGAGACACAAATTGTCTATATCAAGAGCGGCCAAACTTGCTTTGGACACATACGATTAAGTTCAGCTGTTTGAGAGCCGCAAGATAAAATTTACACATACGTTCTTGTTACATACACATTTTATGACAATTTTATATAAATATTAAGAAATGCATGGATACAATTTTTTAAACTGTTAATTTGTATTGGTTTCAGTAATCATAAAAGTGTATATATATATATATATATATATATATATATAAAACAACATTCATTTTTCTCTTACTTAAAACCCCTTCCACCCACCTCTCCTGAAAATTCTCTATTAAGGTTTAATCTCCCTGCTCCACCTCCTCATACTTTACACTCTTCTCTAAATTCTGTTTTGATTTCCGGAGTTGTTTTTTTCTGTTTTCTTTTTGAATTTGTAGGTCTTGATGATTTGGATCGTATTTATGATTCCAATGGAATAAATTATGACCATGGATTATTAGTGTTTAAACCTTTTATTATATCCTTACTCTCTCCTGGACATTGAGTTCTACCTGGATTCTATCCTTTTTATTAAAAAAAATATACATGTATGTGTATGCATCTATGTATATATATTTATATATATTTGCATATGTATGTGTATATTTAACTAATATATATATATATATATATATATATATATACCAAATATTTTTCAAAGTCTTGACTGATGATTGAGGATATTTAATACGGTAATGAACTACGGAAATTAACTTTTTATATTAACTGTGATGAAACATATTTCCATGAGCCGCGTATTAAAGGTAAAAAAATCAGCATGTGGTTGCGAGCAGCAGTTTGGCCACCCTGGTCTATATTATATTTTTTTAGGATCTGCTTTCAAAAAGACGTACGATGTTTGTTCGTTACTGAAAGTTTCGTGGTAATAAACCGGTCGTCAATTGTTTGAATAGGGCCATTATTTTTTAGAAATATGACCCAAAACGTTATATATACGTACGTAGATAGATAGATCTGAACAGACTGAGATCGATAGACAAGGACAGACTGATAGAAAAATATATGAAGACTTAGAGATTGACATGTATGCAGATAAACCGATAAGAATAACATACTTATATATATATATATATATATATATATATAGATAGATAGATAGATAGATCTGCGCAGAGTGAGATCGATAGATATGGACAAGTTGTTAGAAAAAAAATGAAGAGATTGCAGATAGATAGATAAAGGACATAGATAGATAGATAGATAGATAGATAAGGGACTGAGATCGATAGATACACATATGACATCCCTTTTTATACAAGTTTTATTAAAGACAACTGACTACGTTCCGCAATTAAGTCTTTTATTCAATTTTTTCTTTCATCTGTACAGGTATTTTTTTTTTCTTTTCTGGACTTAAAATGTTTTGTATAGTTGTGCGTTTTCAGTTATTCTATTCCTTATCAAAGTTATTTCAATTTTAAATTTAACTGACTATGTACAAGGGTCCAGAATGTATTGTCACCTATATATTTTATTTTTTTCTTTTCTATTCTGTGGGGTATCATCAAGGAAGAGTTTCAGATGAACGATACCACAAAAAATCCCTCAGTTGAAAGATGCTATTCTGAAGAGTCTTTGCAAAAATCAACAAAGAACAGTTTCGCAAAAATATCACACAGGACATGGTGTCGCATCATTTGTGTCACGAAAATGGTGTTCACACAGACCTTCACGATGTGGCACCGTCAATGAAAGTGAATAAAAGAATATAGTCCATGTTCTTTGTAGTACTATATTACTTGTTCTAACCTCATTAATTTGTTTGGTAGTAGGTGACAAGACATTTGGACCACCCTAGATTGTTTGGTACCGATAGTGTATCATAGCTCAATTCGGACACAAAATAGAGACAAACTTAGAAAACTCAGTCCATAACATATTCGTAGAAAAACGCACGAACAGTCTTGACCACATGTTAAAATGACCAAAAAATCATGGAAGCATTATTAATAAAAAAGAGAAAGCCAAGAGTCAATAATATCAACTATGAAATACAGTGACAATAATATCAACTATGAACACAGTGACAATAATATCAATTATGAACACAGTGACAATAATATCAATTATGAACACAGTCACAATGACCTGACCGTTAGTGGAAAAATATTTAAAAATCTCATTACTATGGATACACATATAAAAAATCTACATATTCAGTTTAAAAATAAAATTTTGATAATGACTTATAGATTTTAAAACTGTTATATTGCTTAATTCTTTAGATTATTGGAAAAATATTTTAATGTTCCAACTAATGTTATACGTAGGTATTTTAGAAAATAGAAACAGAACATTTTTGTGATATTGAATATTAGGATTCTCAAATGGCAAGAGGTAAAGAATTGACTCTTTTTGTGTAGAAATGATTTTCACCAACATGAAAGAAGGTCATTACAGGAAAAATTTCTAATACCTGATTCCAAATTTTGTTGTTTTTCTATTTATTGCAAGGTTTAAAACTAAATAGTTGAAACCAAATGAACATATGTGTTCCATGAATATTGATAAGATTAGATTTATATATATATATATATATATATATAAATATAATGGTTATCATCAATATATATATATGTATATATTCACTAGAATCTGTTATAAATGGACAATAGGAAAATTAATGGTAGCAACATAGTTTCGTTCAAAGACACTTTTCAGAAAAACCAGATTGCTAATTTGTTAGACACAAATGTAACTAATAAAATTAAACAAAATGACATAGATGAGGAATAAGAGGAGAAAGTGTATTTTCAAAACAAAACTGGAGTTGCTTGACGTGTGAATAAATCATTTTTTTATTGCTGTTTTTGTGATCCTTCAAACACATTTCTAATTGGAATTTCTTGGTTAGCAGCGTGTGGCGGGGAAGTTTGGCAAAAGGTTCATGACATATCAGTAATAGAAGGTAAATGAAATTACAGTATATTGAAATATATATATATATATATATATATATTGAATCTTGAACTATATATTTGATATATATATGGTCCTAAAATTACAATGCAGAATAGAATGGATAAATACATATCGAATCGCCGTAAAAGAACCCAGATTTAAATAGTGAGAACTGAAAGGTATATAGATGGATAAATATGTCACGATTTCCAACAAAGATATAGATATATATATATATATAAAGGAGAAACAATGAATATATAAACCAAAATTATTTCTTATAGATATTTTTTATTTTTACAAAATAGTGCTCAATGTAAATTTACAGAGCATAATATTATAAATTAATTGATTTAAAAATGGGTTTCCATACAGTTCTAACCATGTTTCAAAATAGAAAACTAAAATTTAATTTTGCAATTAAATTAAAAGCATTAGTTCATTCATCCTCAAGCGAATTTTTGGAATAACTTTAAAAAACCCAGTAATTTTTAAAAGTTACTCAAAAGTCATGAAAAATGAACTTTTTAATTAATTACAAAAATTAGACTTTACTTTACTGAAAACATGGTGCGAATGTATGAAAAACATATTTAAATCAGTAATTATAATATATATATATATATATATATATATATATATATATATCTGATGGAGAATAAAAATTGCGACATCCTCAATAATTGTTTACAATTTACTCATTGATAGCGTACAGTTACTATAGTTGGATATAGTAAATGATTGTACATATAGATTGATATACGCACAGGTTTCCAAAACAAATGTTTTATTAGCAGTTGTCAAACAACCTATTAAAGCACTCTATATCCTTCTTGAGTATTAACGCAGGCTAAATAATTATACATGCACATAAAATCGTAAAGATGCCGACTTGTATTCTGTGATAATATAATATTGTCACACGATATAATGTATGTGCTCAAGTATGTGGCTCAGAAATAGTGTTTGGTGTCGTTGTTCCGTGGTCCGAGCCTGTTTTTTTCTCTCTCTGCAGCGTGAGTTTCCAAGCCTGCCTTCAGGTCCAGTACACCCCTACTCGGACCTGTGTCCAGTCTCATTGAAAATCAAATATTTAGTGTTAAAAAGCACAACATATATTCTTAAGCTTTTTTCTTGTCCCCATGGGGGTATTTTTGCCGATCACTTGTCAGTAACGTGGGGGTGAAAGAGTGTTGAACATCTCATCCCAGAAGTTGCTGACCCATGTATTTCTATCGAGATGAAAATTCTTAATCAAAAAGTTTTGGAGTAAGAAACTTGTTTTTTTTTTAAGAATTTGTGTCTTCTAGCTGATTGTTGATTTGTCAGTTCACAGGCCAATGAAATGGCATGGGAATATACTCTTTTTATTTTTTCTTGCCGGAAATTAGACCATCACTGGAGTCTCTCTCTAATATATCCAATCTCTGAAATATTTCGAGTAACCTGCGTGGCTGTTTTTGCTTGAATATTTTTCCTATTACTTAAATCATAAGTTATTCTCCTCTATTTTAAACTCACTGTGTTGCAATACCTTTTAGTACTCATCTCTTGCAACTGTTGACGGACTTCTCAACAAAAGCTGGGAGGGCTAAATGAAAGAGTCAAGCAATGTCCCATCATGTCCTATGTATATTCAATGTGGGACCAATATGTCGATCTTATTACCACCTTGAGAGTATGTTCAGTAGTACTATTATCTTGTTTGCAGGCATTATCCTGTTGGAATAACACATCATTTTTCAGATAGAGAATGAGTTCATCAACGTTCTGAACATGTTGGGGATGTTCAACGACCCCTCGACAAAATAACAACGGCAGAAATAAAAGTTTGTAATTTACGATACCTCACAGGGCTGGCCTGTGTGTCCTGCGTGAATACGTGCTGGGAATGAGACCAGTCACCAGATATCTGGGTTTCACTTGCACAGAGCCTGCTCTCTCATCAGTGAAGGCCACAGACGTTATTCAGTCTCCCAGTAACACTTGTCCTGGAGTATGGCGATAAACTTCACATCCGGTAACAAGGCATCTGATCAGGATATTGATGGTTTTGTGGAACGTGAAATGCCTCTTAATTGCAGTTGTTTTACTTGTCCAGCCTGACAGGGGTGGTAGCACCTCTTAGGGACCTAACTATGGTCAAACAGTGAACCCCCAACTGAAAATAATCAATATGAAAGTATAAAAATACATATTTATAGTAAAAAATACTAGCAATACTTTTTTTATATAAAAAATACCAACAATACCTATTTATAGTAAAATTACCAACAATACTTATTCATAGTAAAATGATAACTATACCTATTTATAATAAAATAACCAACAATGCTCCATTTATAGTAAATGAATGAAAATACTTATTTATAGTAAAAATTACCAACAATATCTATTTATAGGAAAATGACCAAAAATACAATTTAAAGAAAATAAACAATATATTTTATCTGTATTCGAATGCAAACAATTGGATTAAAATATATTTAATTGAAGATATACATGTATTTAGATTTCCGGCGATAATTATCCATAGAGTTGTTGATATGCCTTTGAACAAAATCAACCAATCAAACCTAGCAACCTACCTTAGCGACACCATCGAAGATGTGGCGATGTAGCTTAATTTGTAATCTGGATGAAGCAAATGTGTGCGTAGAGCTGCTGCAAGTAATCGATTTTTCAATGCTGACCTTCCAGAGGTCACATTTCCTACTGATTTGTGCTGTATGACCAACACGTGTGTAAGTGAGTTGCTTTTAAAAATCCGATCATGATGCGCCGATCTTGGCAGAAACATTTGGAAAGGCCAACAACTGACTCTTCTACAACGCCCCTTTAATTGAACAAAAGGAGCAAGTGTATATCTGTCCTATATCTCTGAGATGAGGTATTATGATTATCTTCATTTGCCATATTCACAACGTTTCTGGCGTTGTACGCTCCCGGCCTTTATGTCCTATGTCTCTCTATTCTGTCTATCTCTGATGAGGTATTATGATTACTTTCATTATTTACATTATTCAGACTGTTATCCTCATCTTCATTGCCATATTCACAACATTTCGGCTGTTGTACACTCCTTCCTTTTATGTCTATGTCTCTCTAGATATCTGTCTATATCTCTGAGATGAGGTATTATGATTTCTTGCATTATTTACATTATTCAGACTGTTATCCCTCATCTTCATTGCCATATTCACAACGTTTCGGCCGTTGTACACTCCAGCCTTTTATGTCTATGTCTCTCTATATCTCTGTATCATATTCTGAGATGAGGTATTATGATTACTTGCATTATTTACATTATTCGGATGTTATCCTCATCTTCATTGCCATATTCACAACGTTTCGGCTGTTGTACGCTCCGGCCTTTTTATGTCTATGTCTCTATATATCTGTCTATATCTCTGAGATGAGGTATTATGATTATTTGCATTATTTACATTATTCGACTGTTATCCTCATCTTCATTGCCATATTCACAACGTTTCGGCTGTTGTACGCTCCGGCCTTTTATGTCTACGTCTTCTCTCTATATATCTGTTTATATCTCTGAGATGAGGTATTATGATTACTTGCATTATTTACATTATTCGGACTGTTATCCTCATCTTCATTGCCATATTCACAACGTTTCGCCGTTGTACGCTCCGGCCTTTATGTCTATGTCTCTCATATATCTGTCTATATCTCTGAGATGAGGTATTATGATTACTTGCATTATTTACATTATTCGGACTGTTATCCTCATCTTCATTGCCATATTCACAACGTTTCGGCTGTTGTACGCCCTCAATATATCTTTATGTCTATGTCTCTCTATATATCTGTCTATATCTCTGAGATGAGGTATTATGATTAATTTTATTATTTTACATTATTCGGACTGTTATCCTCATCTTCATTGCCATATTCACAACATTTCCGGCTGTTGTACGCTCCGGCCTTTTATGTCTATGTCTCTCTATATATCGTCTATATCTGTGAGATGAGGTATTATGATTACTTGCATTATTTACATTATTCGACTGTTATCCTCATCTTCATTTACCCATATTCACAACGTTTCGGCTGTTGTACGCTCCAGCCTTTATGTCTATATGTCTCTCTATATATCTGTCTATATCTCTGAGATGAGGTATTATGATTACTTGTATTTATTTACTATTCGACTGTTATCCTCATCTTCATTTTGCCATATTCACAACGTTTTGGCCGTTGTACGCTCCAGCCTTTATGTCTATGTCTCTCTATATATCTGTTTATATCTCTGAGATGAGGTATTATGATTATTGTATCATTTTACATTATTCGGACTGTTATCCTCATCTTCATTGCCATATTCACAACGTTTCGGCCGTTGTACGCTCCGGCCTTTTATGTCCCTGTCTCTTCATATATCTGTCTATATTTTGATAGGTATTATGATTATATGTCTTATTTAGATTCGACTGTTATCCTCATCTTTATTGCCATATTCACAAACGTTTCGGCTGTTGTACGCTCCGGCCTTCATGTCGATGTCTCTCGATATCTGTTCATATTTCTGAGATGAGGTATTATACGTGGCCCATTATTTACAATTCGGACTGTTATCCCTCATCTTCATTGCCATATTCCAATAATTGTACCACTCCGGCCTTATGTCTATGTCTCTGGATATATCTGTTCATATCTCTGAGATGAGGTATTATGATTACTTGCATTATTTATGTTATTCGGACTGTTATCCCCATCTTCATTGCCATTTCACAACGTTTCGGGCCGTTGTACGCCCGGCCTTTATGTCCCTAATCTTTACTTCGGGGTTCCTTTTTCTGAGATGAGGTATTATGATTTATTTGTATTATTTACATTTATTTGGATTTATCCCATATTGCTGCCATTTTGTCCCTCCTTGCAGCCGATGAGGCCTTCGTCCTTCCTCGTGTCGATGTTCTAAGATATTTATCGGCATTCTTCGAAAAGGTATTAAATGCGCCTGCACTATTTTTCATTATTCGGACTTAATCCTTTTCTTCATATTGCTATATTCAGTGAAGATAAAACCTGGGGGTGGATGTACCTGGTCCTTTATGCTTATTTCTCTGTGTGTTTCTATTTTGTGAGATGAGGTATTATGATTACTTTCCCTATTTACTTTTTAGGACTGTTATCCGATCATCACCCTCCACGGAATATTTTGGCTTGGCTAAGGCCATTTGTCTATGTCTCTATATATCTGTCATATCTGTGAGATGGCTTCATTATGATTACGGGTTTATTTACATTATTCAGACTGTTATCCCCATCTTCATTGCTGTTGACAAATCGTTTCCTCCGTTGTAATTCCCTTCATGTCTGTAATTTTAAAAATCTCTGTCTTATCTCTGAGATGAGGTATTACTTTTATAATTGCATCGAGATTTACATTATTAATCAGTTATCCTTTGTCTGCCTGTCAACATATTCATAATGTCAAAGCCGTGATTAGCTGCTCCAGTCTTGTCTTTGGGCACCTCGGCGTGGTGCAATGGTTAATATTTCGTCTCGCTATGTCAGTTACTCTAAAATGAGTTCGATCTTTTCATGTTTCGTTTTCTTTCTTTTTCATGTTTCGTTTTCTTTCTTTTTCATGTTTCGTTTTCTTTTTCATGTTTCGTTTTCTTTCTTTGTCATGTTTCGATTTCTTTCTTTTTCATGATTCCTTGTATTTCATTTCTTGTTCCGTTTTTTTGTTTTCACATTTCTTTGTTTCATTTCTTTTTGTTTCTTTTTCATTTTTCTTTTTCCTTTCTTTCTTTCTTTTTTGGCAAAATAAAAGTTTTCCAATTATTGATTTCTGAAATAAATGAATCAACCAACTCTTCGAAACAATGTCATTTCCTTTGAACAAGTGCATTTTGGGTTTTATTTAACAAATAAAGCAGAAAACAAAGAAACCGGACTTCCTCAAATTCCTTAAGATTCGGCTTTGAAATAATAAACTCTGCCAAGACATAAATTAAGAAATTGTTTTGTTTCCAAAATGGAAAATACATGCATATCGATGTCTTTTAATCGGTAAAAGAAGGAATCTGACGAAAGCGAGCATTTTGTAATGAATCGAATACAAAGTTTAAGTACGTGAATATTTTGGAAATAATCGTCAAATTGATTGATGGGATCCGGAATAGCGTATATATATATATATATATATATATATATATATATATATATATATATATATATATAAACAATTGTGAGATAGATGATAGATAGATAGATAGATGAATAGAATAATAGGCCTGGATAGATAGATATGAAAAGAATAAGGAAAGATAGATAAATAGATAGATCGATAGATAGATAGATAGATACGAATAGGCCTCAATAGATAGATATATGAAAAGAATAAGTATAGACAGAGAGATAGCTACGAATAGACTGAGATAGATAGATAGATAGATAGATAGATAGATAGATAGATAGATAGATACGAATAGGCCTGGATAGATAGATATGAAAAGAATAAGGATAGATAGATAGATATGTGTAACCCGAATGAAAACTAGAGAAGATATGACCAGATTGACATAAATATAACCAAACTAAGGTAGATATAAATAGACTGCAATAGATACATAGATATATCAGATATATAATGAATATTAGATATATATAAAAATCATATATATATATATATATATATAAAAAGTTTACGTTTTACAAAATGTTTCTTTAGGCATTTCTAACGCAGATTAATGAAACTTTTACTGCTAGTAATACATATGTTTAAGCCTCTAGTCAAACAATCAGGTTTAAAAAAATACTCAACGAAAATATCCCACGAAGAAAAACCAATATTTAATAATGCAAAAGTTTACAATACATTTATCAAATTATCCATTAATATTTCGTAGCGTAACCATTATTGCTAAGTACAGTGTGTAGGCGTTTAGTTTACTCCCCTATGAAATTTGTGCATGCTCCTTGGCTAATATTTTTCCATTCTTCACAAGAAAATTCCTTTAGTTCCTGCAGGTTTTGTGGGTTCCTTTGAATTCTCAGTTTCAGCTCTCTCCATAAATTTTCAATCGGATTGAGATTTGGAGATTGACTTGGCATTTTTAGAATGTCTTTTCTATTTGAACTTAACCATAATTTTGTAAGCTTTGCAGTATGTTTAGAATTGTTGTCTTATTGAAAGACCCAACCTAGTTTCAAGCCCAGCGAATGTGCCCCTTGGCGTAAATTTCTCTCCAAAATATCCCTATAATATTCTCTATTCATCCTTCCTTCTTTTATTTCAATGTTCTCTACACTTTGTGCACTAAAGCAACACCAGAACATGATTGATCCGCCTCCAAATTTTACTGTTGGAATAGTATTCTCCGGCGAATATCCAGTACCTTTCTTTCTCCTGACCTTTCTTACAGTATTTCAGACAAAAAGTTTAATTTTCGTTTCGTCTGACCAAAGTACATTTTCTCAAAATGCTGCAGGTTTTATACAATGCTCATTTGCAAAATACAGTCTAGCAAGAACGTGTTTTCACTTAAGAAGTGTTTTTTTTTTCGTTGGAGTCCTCCAAAAGATGTCATATCGACGAAGTGAATTACTAATTGTATCCATACTCACTTTTACTCCACTTACTTCTAGTCGTCCCTGAAGTTCTTTAAGCCTAACTCGGGACTCGTTGCCAACTTTTCTCGTTAATAATCTTGCCATACATTCCGTTACCTTTCTAGGACGACCAGAACTTTTCTGGGAGGAATGGAATGGCATGTCTTCCAGTGACGAATTATAGTACCAACTGAACTCAATGGCACATTTAACTGACTCGATTTTTTTCCTATAACCAGGTACATTTGTATGAAGGTCAAGAATACGTTTACAGAAGTCTTGATCAATGATTTTGCTTTTCCCCATTTTGTCAATGTTTAAAGGACAGTTAACAGAAAAAAGGCGTAATACATGTAATAATTCCTAAAAGTAATCATAAAATTAAACTGGAACGTTCTAAAAAACAACTCCATCCTAATTTGGAACATTCAAATAAAATTTTAACATTTTAATATTTAATAAAAAAACTTTGAGTTACTAAATATCGGTTTTTCCTCGTGGGAGACTTCTTTGAATTTTTTTTCTTTTTTAAATCTGATTGTTTAATGTAATTGTATTAGAAATACATAACAAACATTTCTTTTTCTAATGTGTTGTAAACTTTTGCGTGACAATATATATATATATATATATATATATATATATATATATAAGTGAAAAGTGTATATAAATATAAATAAATATATATATGTATAATTATTTATATATTATATGCGCAGTACTTATTAAAAGCGCTCAATATCAGAGATAGAGCTAACATATTTGGTTTGTCTGACGATCGCTAAAGCGTGAAACCCAGGGTCACAAACTCACATCTATCCAACCATATATATATATATATATATATATATATATATATATATATATATAGCTGCATGGTCCGGCGTTGCCAGTGCTTGATTCAAAAATCGTACGACTCATACAACAATCGTTATCACTTGACTTAAAATATTTTTGCCCTTCCTTGACTTAAAAGGAGTGCCCTTTGCCGTGCTGATGTTGCTACATGCTTTACTTCTTGCCTAAATCACAATGCGAATTTTTTCTAAGCTCTATATGTTATACTAGAACATACCTATTCTATTATTAATAGACTCTTCCACATATAATAAGTAGTAGTAGTAGCAGTCACCAGAGGGGGCTCAGTGAGTTGGTGAGTCAGTCGATGTCGGACATTAAAGTATCAACCACCCCAACTAGATTGCTGCGTCATTAACTATTATTTCAAGTTCCTAACGTTTTGTACGTCGAACCTTTTTTAGGACCGACTTAGTGAAATACAAGCCGCCACTGTGAAACTACTCTACAACACACTATACTAAACATTAAATCTGTTACGAAAAAAGAACTAAACAAAATGAACACAAAACGATCAGCTTTAAAGAAGGACTCGTAACTGGAAAAACCGAATGAAAAAAGAATGTTAACAACAAATATTTTTTCACACCCAACCCAGTTCTGCGGAATCAGAATCAACGTTGAGTTTAAGAAAGAGAATGAGCCAATTGGAGTAAAGTGCCATGCAGATTTAAATCTTTCCCACTTGTGACGAATTGCATGCTAGCATGCTAGTTAACATTCGTGTCAGTCAGCTGTTGGCTCTCACGCAGGCCAGTAGAAAATGGCTGCAAACTACATGAAAACTGCCGTAGAAGCGTGGAAAAATCGATTATTTCCACTACCGATGGGAGTTGGGAAATGCAAAGTCGGTATTGGCATTCCCGCTAACTTGGAACATGTGCACGTAAATTTTGGTATAAATCTGTCGAAAATTGCGGCCGTGCATTCTTTTACACACAACACACATTCCTGCCATATATATATATATATATATATATATATATATATATATATATATATATAAAAAAGACAAAAAAAAAAAACTATTCTTACCTGACGCGTTTTGTCCTCTGAATTCCTTTATAAAGATAAAGTTCCACAGAGGACGAAACACTTCGGCTAAGATTATTTTTTTTTCTCTCGTCTCTTTTTATTCATGTTGTATCTTCTACAGATACGCTCTCTTTGAGAATATTTATATATAATTGGGAAAAAATGTATGGCAAAGTGGTAAATATTTTCATGTGACGCGTTTCGTTCTTAAGACTTCATTGGATTAAATATGTTACGCTGGTACGACTAAACAAGCGCACGAACGAGGGATGATGGGAATTTAAAATTTTTTTAATTTTAATATATTTTTTTTAATCTAGCCTATTTAATTTAAATTATTTTTATTTTTATTTTCTTCACTTTTGTTATTAGATATCTCACACTGTGATAATAGAGTTTCTGCCAGGAATGGCGAAATGTTGTAAGAGCCGTGGCGCAAATTCACTGAGGATGAACTTGCGATCAAGGCACCTGTCTAAACATTTTCGTCAGATAATTGTTTCTCCTTTGATCAGAGTAGAGTTTTTATGTCAAGTCTCGTTACGGTGGGCAATCGACGCATATCATGTATTGCTTTGTAAAATGTTCGTTTTGTGTTCATATAAGATTTTATTTAGATTTCTTGAAGTTTCTCCCATGTATGTTTTGTCACAATTATTACAGGTGATCGAGTCAATTCTTCCGCAAAGGTTATTGCTATTTTCTCCGGATGTTTATATTAATATATAAAAAAATATATATATCGTAAACTCATATATATATATATATATATATATATATAGTAGTGGGAAACAAATATTCGTACACATATATTTTTAAGTTATTGTATTTCCAATTAATGAATAAGCATACTTTTCATATAATTAACTGTACACAGATGCATAATAATTAAATATGCATAGAAAACAGATCTTTTGATTTAATAAAAATAAATGCGATTATCTATTTTAATTGGTGAAAAAAGTATTCGTATAATGCAAAATTCAGATTTTAAAACTGTTATATTGCTTTAATTCTTTAGATTATTCAAGTGGAATATTTTAGAATGTTCCAATAATGTTATCAGTAGGTATTTTTAGCCCCCCAAATACAAACAGAACATTTTGTAATTGATATTCGTGCAAGAAGGTTATCATCATGGCAAGAGGTAAAGAATTGACAAATTCGCAAAAAGAACTGATTGTTAAGCTCTGGAAAGAAGGTCAAAGTTACAGGAAAATCTCAGACAACCTGAATATTCCATTTAATACCATTAGTTCATTTATTGTAAGGTTTAAAAACTCAAAACTGTTGAAAACCAAAGAAGAACATGTGTTCCATGGAAGATTTCTTCAAGATCTTTGAGGAAATTAATGCGTCAAATTAAACAAAATCCAATGGTTACTCATCAAGAGTTGCAGGATGATTTGCTTTCATCAGGAATCTGTGTTACTAAATGGACAATAAGCAATGAAATTCATCAACATAGAAACAATCTAAAGACACACTCCTCTCAGAAAACTCCATTGCTATTGAAAAGACACAGAGATGTAAGGTTGAAATTAGTTAATGGACATAGATGAGGAAAAATCGTTTTGGGAAAGTGTATTATGAAAACAAAACTGAGTTGCTTGGACGTAATTCTATAAATCATATATAGAGGAAAGATGGTGATCCCTTCAAACACATTTCAAACAATGGAATTTGGTGGTTAGCAGCGTGGTGGCGTGGGGAAGTATTTCTGCAAAAGGTTCTGGCAACATATCAGTAATAGAAGGTAAAATGAATGCTACAGTATATTGAAATATTTTGGAAGCAAATTAAATGGTTTCGATTGAAAATCTTGAACTTCCTTCTGATTGGATCTTAAGATAATGGTCCTAAACACAATGCAGAATCAGAAATGGCTTGTTGAAAATAATGTCAATGTTCCGAAATCGCCGTCAGTCCCCAGATTTAAACCCAATCGAGAATCTGTGGCGTAATTAATTTGAAAATTCAAATCTAATCACGATTTCCAACAAACACCCGAGATCTGAAAACCATATGGAAAGGAGAATTAAGTAATTACCA